TCTGGATCGTTCCCTGGCTCGATAAACGGACGGCTTAAGCGCCACCTCCAGGGAGGACCGTCCGTCGAGTCTTGTTTGCCCGGCTAGAAACCCGACCTCAGGGCGGGTTTGTTCAATCAGAACCAAAATTTAAGTTGAAACGATACAGAAGACTCAAACGGTACGATGGATCGAGATTCTCCACACAAAGAGGTCGCCACAATCGCAACGAGAGAATAGTTGATGCTACCGGTCGTTCTACCTACTCACGAAAACAACACTCACCAGTATCATCACCGGAGGAACTCACTTATTCAAAGATCCCCGCCGATCGAGACACGTGAGTGGAGAGACTGATTTCCCAGGCAGTCTAACCTGGCGTACAAGAACATTAACACAAAAAAGTAGAACGACGCGAAATGTGAGAATACTCGAAACCAAAAATAAGTTACATGGAAAACTTTAACATTTAACGGAAAAACATTTATTGGGGTAAACTACTATAAAACATTTAAGTAACTTTATTTAATTGTATAACCTAGGTTTTCATTTTTCGTGTTTCTTCCTCTCTTGTTCCCTACTGTGTGCGGATTTTGATCTAGTGATCGCTAGCTAGCTTTTCTCATCGAGTTCTTCGTGGTATGTGTGTGGTGTCGTTAACGCATGCGCATGGTTAAATAAATTGTTGGGTTTACTCACGGTACCGAAATAGCTGCCTGATGAATTGGTCGGCAAAGCAGATACCGGCTGGTTTGCCGCGGTATTGTGGCTATCGCCCGAAATGCGGCGATTGGCGATGATGCTGCGGAAATTCCCAGTCGATGAATGGTCTCGAAGCTGGTACTGAAATCGCGCCGAAATATGAATTGGCGCTGTAGACGACGTTGGGACGTCGATGTACGTGGCGGAAATGGCAAAATGGCCGCTCTGTCGAAACGGTTTGTTTCCTTCCGGCTTTCCCCTCAAGCCGGGACTTTTGACGCAGAATCGTGGGGTCGAGAGTCGCGCTTTATCTCGAGATGCGGTGTGCCGAGCTTCGGCCGTATATCGCTAGAAGCGAATCCTACATAAAAAGCCGTCGAACGGCTGTTCGACGCGTTAACAATAAAATTTCCACACAAAACAATTATCCACGAATTTACCTTTTCTCTACGTACGCACACACAAAAATTGACCGCACGTCAACTTTGACCTAACTGATGAACTTTAGGCTACACGAAGGAAACAAAAAGTAACATTAAATTCGATCACTAGACTTCTCACATTTTTATAGGTACCAATTAAAACACACCGCGACACAAGAAAACTATTTCACGCACTCTCGCCTCTTCCACGGTCCAGGTCAAAATGGACGAGTGGACGTTCCGAAAACCCTCAGATCAAATCGTGATCATAGTCTTCGTGGCCGGAAGTACGTCAATTACCGAAGTAATTAACGACCTTTTCAAACGACAAATCTCATCAACTACGATCTCGAGCCGATTGAACACTCTATCTCTTTCTCGCTCGTACCGTTTGATTAAACTGTCTCGCTTCAATCTATTTCTGGTTTGATTGATTTTTTTACGAGAGAGAATGTTCGGATTCGAACCTCGGACTTTACGACGAGTCTCGCAAACCAGTGAACGTTTCCAGTGGCGGATCAAATGAATTTTGGAAGGCAGCTTGTATGCAAGCGTTTCGTTTTTATGCGGATTTACAATTCGTTTCATTTGTAATGGTGATTTCAATTTAATTCAAGTGAACATGTAGTTATTATGTAATGAATATAAATAATAAATAAATAACGTGAACGATAATTATTAATGGAATTCAAAAATAGATGGAAAAACAGAATATAAATTCAAATAAATAAGTGGCAATCCTTAAATTAGTTAAATTATATTTACATAAAAGTGACCATGCTACAAACTTTAAATTAACTTAAACTTAACGTTAACTTTACTTGAACATAATTTTAGCAAAACCTAAATTTTACCAAATTTAACATAAATTTAATTTATTTTTAGCATAACTTTAACTTAGCATTAACTTACGTATAACACAAATTTAACTTAAGTTTAACATAACTTTAACTTAGCTTTAACTTACCTTTAACATAACTTTAACTTACCTCTAACAAAACTTTCACTTACCTTTAATTGTAATTGTAATTGTTCAGTGCATAGGCTGTGCCTTCCGCTAAGAAGGCTTATCTAGGGACCAACCCCCTAGTCTATACACCTACTGTCCTTCCCGTTGCACTCGTCAGCTCGTGCGATACTCTAGACACACATGGGTGGTCGTATCCGGGTCCTCCCCTGGGTAGGCTCGTGTCCGTCCAGGTTCTGGTACATTAACTTATCTATATGCATGGTAATTATACTTTTAAAACTCACCTTTTGATTATAATGTCGAAAATGCTGAAACTAAATAAAGGTTAGCGATCCATATAAGGTGTGTGCTGCGACGGAGTAGTAATTGAAGGAAATGAGGTTCTGATGTGAAGTATAGGTAATTCTAAAATAGGTAAATCAATTAATCATTAGGTGCAAAAAGTTACTAATAAATGGGTACGATAAATCACTCATCAATGACTATTGCCACTCCCACTGACAAATGGGCAAAACCTTAATCATAAATGGATATTCGATTCCTACCGTGTATTTAAAGTAAAGTTAGGATCTTATCAAGCAAGCACACACCTTTTACGATTCTTATCCTACTTACGGTTTCCTGCACATACAACTTTTCCTGGATACAAGCTTCGTCCAGTATACATTGGCTGTCTCCAACCGGCATGATCCTTTCTGTCTGCTTCCTCTTGCCGGTGCAAGTTTAATTCTTCTTTTCTTGTTCGTTTCTGGTTTCTGGTCGTGTTCCCATTTGTCCTCAGGCAGTTAATATTAGTACATGATAGGAAGAAAGAAAGAAATAGAACAAGTTAAGTGTGAGCCGCATGCATTGGTTACTTATTTGGGTCATGGTGTTGTCTTCCCTATTTATTTGCCCTAGTCGCTCTCATATCGAACGTTTAACTCTGGATCAACAATAGAAAAGGGCCCATCAGCATTTGTAAACAAACCGCTCCAAAGCCCCCCACTCACAAAGCGAAGGCCACCCACGCAAACCAACACCATCATCGGATAGGGAAAACTTCCACCTACACGAAGATGGTGTTGGTCTGCGTGAGCAGCCCCCGATCTGTGAGGAATGGGCTTTGGACGGTTTGCCCACAAAAACCGATGGGCCCCCTTCCATTGTTGATCCAGAACTCACCCCCTTCCCTCACACTATTATGGTCGGAAAAGAGAACCCATATTTAGGAATCTATCGCGAACTGCGATGCAGAAGATATTAATAGCAAACTAATCTGGAACTGGTCTAAGACATATGACCCAGTGAGCATTGACACCTCACACTGTTGTGAATGAGCACGGACGCGAGATTTACTAGAGTATTAAATGCAAAACGCAAATTCAAAATAAAACTTGACAAGACATCGTCAATCCCCTTATTCTTGGGCAGGGTCTGACGATGTGAATCTGATTTTGATCAGTGAACGGGCCCCATATGGTACATTTTCTCACTATGAACCTGTCATTTCCAGCCTATCTGAACTATTTAATAAATGGAAACCATAACATGGGTTACGCTTCCCCTAAGCGGGCCCTCCGCATCCTATCTCTGTCTTATCTCAAATGCCAATGGTTTGAATGTATCAATATATACATTGGAAATGACGTTCAATCAAATAAACCCATACCCCACTCACTTCGCCAGGCTTCAGAATCGTCCAGTGGGCAGTGCGCTCTACACTCCAAGTTCCCTTTATTTCAAATTCACCCTAAATTTGATATTTTACCCCTTTGAGTGTTGATTAATCACAATGAAACATTGTGACAGAGCACGGACTTGAGGTTACTAGAGTATTAAATAATCTAGGTCCTATTTAGGATTATATCTGAAAAATCCAAATTTGGCCAACGCCCACCAACAAAACTTTCACTTACCTTTAAATTACCTTTAAATTAACTTTAACATCCCGCATAAACAATAACCATAAGAAGCGCCTAACCACCAATTCGGGATATCATCCCAACTTTATGCGGTATGGTCGTACCATCTATGACATCGTTAGTGTATGGTATCCGTTTATTAGGGATAACTTTAACTTAAGTTTAACAAAACTTTATCTTTCCTTTAAAATAACTATAACATAACTTTTTCTCTTACATAACTTTAACTTAACTTTAAACTTACTTTAACATAAATTTCACAAAACTTTAAATTAACTTTAACTCTACCTTAACATAAGTTAAACTTAATTATAACTTAACTTTAACTTTAACATAACTTGAACTTAACTTTATCTTACACATAACTTTAACTTTACTTTATCTTAACTTAAACATAACTTTAACTTAACTTAAACGTAACCTTAACTTAACTCTAACTTACCTTTAACGTAACTTTAAATAAATTTTAACTTTTACTTTAACATAAGTTTATCTTACCATCAACATAACTTTTACTTTAACATAATTTTAACTTAAATTTAGTTGTTACATACTTAATTTAACTTAACTTTAAATTTTACTTAACTATAATAAAACTTTAACTTAAACATAAACATCGGGATCCGGTATCGGAATGCGTTACATCAGTAAGGATGCTTAACTCAGCCGGATTCCTCCTGCGGATCAATTTTGGAAAATAGTTACATCAAAATTGATCCGTTGGAGGAATCCGGATGAGTTAATCATCCTTGTTGATGCTTTGCATCAGTCAATTAAATCCGCCGGATTCCTCCAGCGGATCAATTTTTGGAAAATAGTTACATCAAAATTGATCCGTTGGAGGAATCCGGATGAGTTAATCATCCTTGTTGATGCTTTGCATCAGTCAATTAAATCCGCCGGATTCCTCCAGCGGATCAATTTTTGGAAAAAAAAAATACATCAAAATTGATCCGCTGGAGGAATCCGGATGAGTTAAACATCCTTACAATAAGGATGCTTAACTCAGCCAGATTCCTCCAGCGGATCAATTTAAAAAAAAAATAATTACACTTAATAACAAATTGTTCAATACTTACCTCTATTCCCGAACACCTCCGGAATTATTGGAAGCAGGCGGCTGAAAAAAAAAACAATTACAAAATAATCAAAATTTTGGATCTGTTTGTTAGAATTTGTAATTATTTTTCAAAATTGATCCGCTGGAGGAATCCGGATGAGTTAAACATCCTTGTTGATGCGTTGCATCAGCAAGGATGCTTAACTCAGCCGGATTCCTCCAGCGGATCAATTTTGGAAAATAGTAACATCAAAATTGATCCGTTGGAGGAATCCGGATGAGTTAATCATCCTTGTTGACGCTTTGCATCAGTCAATGAAATCCGTCGGATTCCTCCAGCGGATCAATTTTTGGAAAAAAGTTACATCAAAATTGATCCGCTGGAGGAATCCGGATGAGTTAAACATCCTTTTTAATGCGTTGCATCAGTAAGGATGCTTAACTCAGTCAGATTCCTCCAGCGGATCAATTTTTAAAAATAATTACACTTAATAAAAACTGTTTAACACCTACCTCTATTCAATTTCCGTACACGTCCCAATCCGGAATTATTGGAAGCAGCCGGCTGAAAAAAAAAATACAAATTAATCAAAATTTTGGATGTTTGTTAGAATTTGTCATTATTTTTCAAAATTGATCCGCTGGAGGAATCCTGATGAGTTAAACATCCTTGTTGATGCGTTGCATCAGCAAGGATGCTTATCTCAACCGGATCAATTTTTGAAAATAATTACATCAAAATTGACCCGCTTGAGAAATCCGGATGAGAAATTACAAATAATAACACTAAATATAACAAATATTTGAATACTTACTGTTAAAGTTGCTACTTTCCTTCGCGGCTCGGGTGAAGGAATTTGCGGTGCGCTCCGTGCACTCAGCCATCTTGTCTAGTTTGTTTATAAACAAACCAGACAAGATGGCTGAGCGCACGACAAAAAAAAAACACACCAATTTAAAAACGTCAGTCTTTAAGTCGCCCAATGTCAAATGACGTCACTTTGTCGCCGGCAATTCGTGTGTAAAGCCCTACAGTAAAAGTATGGACGTCTGTCAAAAGTTGTTCCAATCGAACCGTCAAAATGCACCGCTTTGCTCGATTGGAACAGCTTTTTTTCAGTTTTGTGGTGTCAGTCGTCCATACTTTTACTGTAGGGCTTTATTCGTGTGGGGTGCTGTATTCGTACACGGTAAGAAAAAAGTACCCAACGGCCAGTTCACTTTTACCTACTTTTGACTAGTTTGTCTCCTTTTCTCCTTCTAATGTTGTCAAAAACGGAGGAGCAAAACCACCCAACAGGGGTAGTAAGTGTATTCGTATACACGGATGCGGTATACACGCTAACTTGAAAGTACTCATTAATGAGTAAAAAAAGACCCATTTTGAAGAAAAGTGGTTTAACTCATTGATGATTAAACAATTTTACCCATTAATGAGTATCTGTTACCCATTAATGATTAACAATTACTCATAATGGGTAACAGATACTCATTAATGGGTAAAAATTTACTCATTTAATGAGTTAAGCCACTTTTCTTCAAAATGGGTCTTTTTCAACCATTAATAGGTACTTTCAAGTTAGCGTGTACAGCACACTATAGCCGACGTTATGTTTAACGTACAGAACAAGAGTAAAATCGGTTTTCAATTGAAACGATAATAATCAATTAAAACACTAATTAACTCTTGCACTGTAACGTCACCAGGGCATTGTTTTACATACAAATAAACATTGCCCACAGGGCATGCCAAAACTTCTTTCCCACTGCGAAAAAAAAAACTGTACACGGCCAATGAGATCAACGCAAATTTGAGTACAGTGTACTCAATATCGAAAAAAGTGCAGGATGAGTAAATTTGCCGCATGTTTTCCTGTGGAAAACCTCAAAAATCTGCCCTAAAATAAGGAAAATTTACGAGAATCCAGAGAATCCAATCTTTGCTTTTCTCATATTCGGAACATGAGGGAAATTAATTCAAAACTGAGTTCCTGCACTTTTTGCGATTTATGAGTGAACTAACCTTAAATTTGGGTCGTTCTCATTCGCCGTGTAGTGCTGACTCAGGAAAAACAAACTTTGCATGCGGCGAGAGACCGAGGGACAACAATTTACATCGTTATGAACTTTGATTCTAATGTAACGTTTGGTTCTGTTGTCATTTTCACGGAACCAAATTTTCTTCATTTAAGTTAAAAATATATATGTTTATTAAATAAAAATATGAATAGTTCAAAGTAAATTAAAAACATGTTTTCAACAAAAATATGTATGTTTAAATTAAATTCAAAAGCATGTTTATTTCAACAATACATAATCTGGGTAATCAATTTTTAGCGTGTCCTTTTTTCCTTCTTGTTTACATTCGGCAAACTTAACCGAAAACGGCCTGCAAGCGGCGAAACCAAAGTAGAGGGTCCGGAAACCAACGCAAGCAAGTGCTCCAAGCTCGACAAAACCGGTGGAACATCACAATATTAACGTCAATCCGTCGTTTCTGATGCTGATCCCCATATCATCCTCACCCCCCACCCGACGTCGAAAGAAAAGCAGATCATCCCCGAACACTAAACTTAGAAAGAGGCCGGTATGAGGACCAGCGTCAGAAACGAAAAATGACGCTAATATCACAAAGTTTCACCGGTTTTACTGAACTGGATCTGATCGGACACCCACCCCGACGGCCCCCCGGATCCAAACATCCACAGACTTTCCATAATAGCAGAAATTTCTATTTATTTGCTATCAATTTTATTTTGATTTATTCAGCATTCAAATGCCAAATAATTTCAAAATATGTTTGTTTATTTTAAACATGAAAAGCATGTTTAAAATAAACATATTAATTTTTGATCGCATATAGTTTTCAAATAAATCAAAAATATTCACGTTTATTTTCAACACGAATATTTTTAAAATAAACTTAACATTATTTTTGTTTTAAACATTATTATCAATGAATTCAAACATAGAATACGTTTGAAATCAACCTAGTTTATGTTTGTGGCCAGAACAAACTGAGTTTACGTTTAAATTTACCTCAAATATTTTTGTTTCGACGGTAAATTTTTCTGCGTGTTGGATGTATTCTGATGTTTTATGCGTGCAACAAATTACATCGTGATGATGTTTGATTCTAATGTAACGTTAGCTTCGGTTGTCATTGGATGTATTCTGATGTTTTATGCGTGCAACAAATTACATCGTGATGAAGTTTGATTCTAATGTAACGTTAGGTTCTGTTGTCATTGGATGTATTCTGATGTTTTATGCGTGCAACAAATTACATCGTGATGATGTTTGATTCTAATGTAACGTTAGGTTCTGTTGTCATTGGATGTATTCTGATGTTTTATGCGTGCAACAAATTACATCGTGATGAAGTTTGATTCTAATGTAACGTTAGGTTCTGTTGTCATTGGATGTATTCTGATGTTTTATGCGTGCAACAAATTACATCGTGATGATGTTTGATTCTAATGTAACGTTAGGTTCTGTTGTCATTGGATGTATTCTGATGTTTTATGCGTGCAACAAATTACATCGTGATGAAGTTTGATTCTAATGTAACGTTAGGTTCTGTTGTCATTGGATGTATTCTGATGTTTTATGCGTGCAACAAATTACATCGTGATGATGTTTGATTCTAATGTAACGTTAGGTTCTGTTGTCATTGGATGTATTCTGATGTCAAATTTTACATCGTCAAGACGTTTGATTCTGATGTAACGTTTGAGGCTAATGTATTTTTATGTACTTGGACGTCACACTGACGTCTGAATACATTAAGATTACAGCAATACACGTTAAAATTTAATGTATTGAAGATGTCTGCTGATGTTTCCTACATTACAATTTCTATTCGGGAAGTGGGTATTTTGGTGAATAAATCCCGCATAAACGCGAACCATAAATTGATCTTACCTAAAATGGTTAAAAATTGTTTATAATCCCTGCTAATGGTTTTGTATTATCGCTCAACTTTACGTGGAATATAACGTGCATTGGTAATCAGTAAATTACAGGCAACCAATTCACGATATATTCCACATAAAGTTGATCGATGTTACAAAACCATTCGTGGACCTTACTGACTACCATAACCATTACCATTAAAGTTCTCAAACCATAAGTTAAAAGGTTCTAATATAGTTCTCTTTCCGAAAATGAATGGAGAAAACAAGAATTTGGAATGGTAATGGTTCTTAACAACCCATTATTTGTAAGGTCTAGTTCCAAAAAAACCATAATACATAAGGTTGAAACTTTATCATTAAACGTTCATGTAAAGTTCCATAACCATTTCAGTTAAAGTTTAGCAGGGATTATAAACAATTTTTAACCATTTTAGGTAAGGTCAATTTATGGTTCGCGTTTATGCGGGATATTAATGAGTAATAAATAAAATATTTCGGATATTTGACGATTTTTACTAGAGGACTTAGGTTAATTTGTTTGAACTTATTCTGAGCTATAGGCCAGCTTGAGCACTCAACGCTTTCTCGTGGTTCAGCCAGCTAGTTGCTTTCTTGGAAATCCTAATGAAAATAAAAGTCCCACCAAGAGTGAAGTCAAAAGTAACAATCGAAATGTCAAGCGGGGTACCAAACAAGCAAAGTAAATAAACATTATTTTTTGCACAGCCAGTGAACTAAAAGTATTGCATTCATTACTGACAATACTTTAATAATTTTAGTTCTTCATTCCTTTATTAACGTCGGTCTCTGTTCCGCAATCTAGTGCCAATCACCGACGGACATCGATTGCAATCCATTGACGGCAATCGAATGTGCAGGAAGGCAGCTTCCACACCTGCGTAGGATATCGCACCCATTCAACACACATGGGCCGGAACCAACGGCTTTACTTCCCTTCCGAAGGAAGACGTGACCAGAGATTTTTATGCCTCAGAAAAATCCCACCGACCTCGGCTGGGATTGAACTCAGACCCATTGGGGTGTTAGAAAGCAGTCACGCTTACCACTACACCACCGGCGCCGGCAATAATTTTAGTTGAAAAACATTTCTTCGCTTTATTTAGTACATAGTGGTATTTATACCAAGCACTTGTTTGAACATTTTTCAGGTTCTATAATTGTTTTTGTCTCCCAGAAGCTCCGTGATCGACTTGAAACTTTTCACTTCCGAATGAAAGTCATCCGATGCTAACGCAAGAAATATGGTTGCCGTTTACGAGGCCGTTTACTCTGACGAAAAATAAATCACAAACAGTGCTGATTGTTTCTTTTGGTGGGACTCTTATTAAAACATCGACTCTGGTAAATATGATTATTCCCTTTATTTAACGTCGGTCTCTGTTCCGCAATCTAGTGCCAATCACCGACTAAATTATAAGATAAATAAAAAAAATAAAAATTAACCGGAATGAATTTAGTACAGAGTGCTTTCACGGCTTTGGAAAATAATGTTAAAGATTGTTTTGATCCTTTGTTAGGGCTCCCTATAATGAAAAAAAAAAAAGAAAAATAGCGCTCATATTTACTATCATACTTCAGAAAAATAAATTGGCCGCAGGGTGATCGACGTGCATTTTTTTGTGAAATCAACGTTTACTAATAGCGATCAGTTTTTATAGTCTATAGCGAAAAAGGTGGATACCATGAAACTGGGTGATAAAATGGTCAATTGAATTCAAGTCAAGTTTTTATTCTTCTTCCCAGGTTCTTCATTATCCATGCTAAATCAAAATAAAAAGTTCTGTTCGTAATTTTAAGGCAAAAAAAACAATATTAATCTTGAAAATCAACCAATTAGCGACTTGAGAAAAAATATAATCTAAATCTATACCCCTAGTCTAATGTCGTTTTCGTTTTTGCGGTGTAGCTACACCGGTGCTACACTGCCGAACACCGAAAAAAATTAGGGTGTAGCTATCGGTTGCACCTTTGTTTACAAACAAATGATGATGAACTGTCAATGACTCGCACTTATTGCTGCTTACACTACACCGGTGTAGTGTAGTAAAAACGAAAACGACATAAAACCACTCCATTCAGAAACAATCTAGTACTCTGTTTATTGGAAATTTCAAAACAAAATTATATTTTTCGTCCCACTGCTGTTTGAGACACTATTCAAATCTTCAATTATCTTTACTAAATTATCAACTATAGTGATCAAGTAACTGCCAATCATCCGAACATTTCTAGATGCGATACTTAAGCGAATTGCCATCGCAAAAGGAAGCTGGTGTTGCTATACTGAGACGACAAGCTTGCAGGTATTTATAAGAAACAGTCAAGTTTCCATATATGCCCACCGTAAAGGAGAAGAACTTCTTGTTTCACCTCTGTTCTCTCCTTAGAATGAAATAAAATTGCGTGGTTTGGGATTATTCCAGTTGCG